CAAGAATAGAGGTCCGTTTGAATAGAAGTGGTGAAAGCAGGCATTTTTGCCTTGATCTCAAGGAGGAGCAATTTCGTCTTTCACCATTAAGTATTATATGGTGGTTGAATATTTTGTAGATGCTCTTTGTCAGGTTGAGGAAGCTCTTTAGTCTTTCCAGTTTGCTGAACATTTTATCATTAGCAAATACTGAATGCTGTCAAATGCTTCTTCTGTATCAATTGGAATGATCATGGGGTTTTCTTCCCTATATTCTGTCAATCTAGTGAATTACGTTAATTGTCATATGTTAAACCAACCTTGCCTTATTGGATAAGCCCTGCTTGGTCATGACATGTTATCTTTTTTATATATATTACTGGATTTGATTTGACATTATTTTGTTTCTGGCATCATGAGAGTATTTTTCTGTAATTTCTTTGATAGTATCTTTTCCAGGTTTTGTATTATAGTTCTACTGGTCTCATAAAATTATTTAGAGAATACTCTCTATTTTTTTTGAAAAGGTTTCCATAATTTTGTTATTTCTTCCCTGAATGTACAATAGAACTTACTAATCAACCCATCTGAGTTGGATTTGCTTTCTGGGAATATCTTTGGATACCAAATTTATATTTGTAAATATAGAACTGTTATTATCTATATCTTATTCTGTCTATAGAATCAGTAGTAATAACCACTTTTTAGTCTAGATACTGATATTTTGAATATTTGATTTTTTGACTATTATAATGTTTGAATATTTTTTTACCATTCTGTTTAATTTGATCTCTTGATGTTTTAGCTTTATCTCTTTACACCTTTTTTGGAGTTACTCTATAGATTACAACGCATACATCTAACCTTCCACAGACTACTTAGAGCTAATATTGTATCACTTCATGTAAAATGTAGAAAATTTGCAACCGTATGGGTCCTTTTGCTAACATCCAACCTTTATCTGGTAGTTGTCCTATGTGTAACATTTACATACATTGAAAACCTGGTCAGATAATGCTACAATATTCATTTCCAATATTCAGTCACATTTTAAAGAATTTAAAAGGGAAAAAAATCTATATTTGCCTACAAATTTACCATTCCTGTTGTGTTTCCTTCCATCCTGATATTTCAGATTTCTTGCATTTCCCTGTAGCCTGAAACACTGCTTGTAGTGTTTCTGGTAGAGTAGATCTGCTGTTAATGAGTTCTCTCTGCTTTCTTTCATATGACAATGTCTTTATTCTGCCTTCATTTCTGTAGGGTATTTTTGCTAGCTATGGAATTCTGGGTTGACAAAGACATCTGCTAGAATTTTGATTGGGTGTACATTAAATCTATAGATCAATTGGGAAGAATTGCCATCTTAAGAAATGAAAGATGTTATTTCACTGCCTTTTGCCCCCATAATTTTTTTTTAGAAATATGTGATTATTTGAATCATTTTCTGTAGCAAATGTGTCATATTCTCTATCAGCTTTTAAGAGGGTTTCTTTTCCTTGGATTTTAGCAGCTTGATTAGGGTATGTGTATATGTTTTTGTTTTTTTTTTTCCTTTGATTTTTATCCTGTTTGGAGTTCACAGAGATTCTTGAATATGCAAATGTAATTCTTTTAACTAAATAGGGGAATTCTTTAGTCACCATTTCTTTAAACTGATTTTCTGCCTCAGTCTCTTTGTTCCTGTACTACTGGGACTCCAATAACATGTATTTCAGTCTTTTGATATTGTAGAGGTCCCTGATTCTCTTTTCATTTTTTCTATTTTCCTCTCTTTGTGTCCTTCAGCTGGGGTATTTTGTACTGGTTTATCTCCAAGTTTACTGACTCTTTCTCTGTTATCACCAGTATCCTTTTGATCCTATGTAGGGATTTTTCATTTCAGATATTTATTTTTAAGTTTCTATATTTCTATAGTTTTTAGTTTTTATTGTCTACTGAGATTGTCTGCTTTTCTATTAATTTCAAATGTGTTTTCATTTGTTTTATGGAGTATAGTTATAATAGCTGCTTTATATCTGGTTACTATCATGTTGGCATTTGTTGATTGCTTTTCCCTTTAGAATTGATCACATTTTTCTTCTTTTCTGTATGTTTAGCAATTTTGAATTGTGCCCTAGATACTGTGAATGTTACATTGTGTGGGCTCAAAATCCCTGTTATAATTCTGCAGGAGATTGTTGATTTTTTTTGTTTTGGCAGGCAATCAACTCAGGGTCAGATTGCAAATTCTGTCTCTTAATGATTCAAATCACAATTACTGCCTCAAAGCCTGTGTTTTGGTTTGCCCTGTGTGACAAATTTACGAATGACTTTGAGACATGGGCAGTGGTTTAAATGAGTTTAGTTCTCTAAATGGGCTCAGGTCTGCCCATCAAATGTGCTGCTTAGGGCTCAGCCTGAGACTTGTGTGGGTTCAAACATGGAACCAGGTAATCCTCTTCTCTTGGTTGTTTGACCTCTATGATTTTCCCTACACTTCCAAGGACCTCTTTTCCTAGTTCCTCAGGGCACAAATATGTGCTTTCTATTACTTTTCAGGCACTGATGTTGCCTACCTTGTAATACTGTGTGACTGGAGTCCACATCAGGAGAAAGCTACAAGAGAAATGAGGGGAAGCCTACAAAACAACAAACCAAATGATGGCGTGCTCTAGGGCTTAGTCCCTGAACACCTCTATTTCCTCTCTACACTCAGTCTCTAGGTGAAAGCATTCTCTAATTCCAGTAGGGACCCAGACCCCTTATCTCCTGATGCTTTCCCAACGTCAGTATGCTTCCTTTTTGTATTAGCAGGAGGGAGAAATATAATGAGAATTCGTCCTTTTAAAGACATTTCTTAGATATTTTGGACATCTCTTCTGCTTGCATCTCATTGTCCAGAACTTAGATAATGGCCACATCTCATTGCAGGAGAAGTTGGAAAATACAGGAGTTTTTAGATGGATGACAATAGATTCAGCTAAAATTGGGATTCTTTTACTAAAAAAGAGGAGGAAATGGACAGTAGGAGGCAACTGGCTGGCTCCACCAAACTTTGTGAATCTAGTCCTCAGCCCTCCCACTAACCTTCCCCATTTCAGTACATGTCAGTTCCATCTTTCCAGGTGCTCAGGCCAAAATATCTTGAAGTCATCATGGTTCTTTTTTTCTCCTATTCTACACCCAATCTACTAGCAAATCCTGTTGATTGTACTTTTCAAATATATCTCAAATCTGACTGACTCCATCTTAGTGCAGGCTATTGTTGCTTCTCCTAGACTTCTGAAATAGTCTCCTTTCTGGTTCTGCCAGTCCATTCTCCCCACAATAGGATATAGTCCTTCAAAATGTAAGTCAGATCACATCATTCCTATGTACAGAACTCTCTGGTTACCTCCTAGCTTATTGTGAATAAAATCCGAGGAACTTAACTATGAAAAGCTAAACATCATCTGGTCCTGGCTAACCCCCTGATTAAATTTACCAGTGTCTCCCTGTAACTCATTCCAAACCAGCTATACTGACTTCCTTAATGTTCCTTGAATATACCAAGCCTGTACCAATTTCAAGGTCTTTGTATCTATCGCATCTTGAATGCTTTTCTAGATATCCCCATGGCTTCCTTCTTCTTTCACGTCTTTGATCAAATATCACATTATCAGAGACCTTCCTAACAGCCTGTCTAAAATAGGATTCCCTCTGGGGTGCCTGGGTGGCTCATTCGGTTGAGCATCCAACTTCAGCTCAGGTCATGATATCGCGGTTCATGAGTTCAGGCCCCGCATTGGGCTCTGTGCTGACAGCTCAAAGCCTGGAGCCTGCTTCCGATTCTGTGTCTCCCTCTCTCTCTGCCCCTCCCCCACATGCGCTCTGTCTCTCTCTGCCTCTCAAAAATAAAGAAAACTAATTTAAAAAATTAAAATAGGATTCACTCTAGTAAATCTCTCCCTTTATAAAACTTTTTTTCTTAATACTCAGCACCATTTGACGTATTATCTGATTTTCTTTGTGTGTATATGTACATATTTGGACATACATATACCTTCTCTACATATATACATATATAAAAATGTATAAACATTTAGGTACATATAGGGATTTGATTACTGAAGGGCTTCTCACTAGAATTAGAGACTTCATCTGTTATGCTCACTGCTGTCTTCTTTAGCAGTTAAGAGTGGTCAAGACAGACTTCTATGAGAAGAGGGCAGTTGAGCTAAGAATGAATGAAGAGGAGTCAGCTATGCTACAACCTAAAAGGAAAACATTCCACACGAAGGGAACAGCTATCTGCAAGGCCCGGTGGTGGAAATAAGCTTGTCATGTTTCAGGGACTTGTCCTGCATTTAAGGACAAAAAGAAGCCCAGTATGGGTAGAATTTAGAAATTATGTAGAATGGAACAAGATGCGGTGGAAGAGACAGAGCCAGATCATGCAGAGTTTTGGCTGTCCCCAATGCAGTCAGAAGAGAAAGAGTCCCCAGCCTGTCTTGGCACCTCAGCCATTCTCTACATTTTGGGAAGCTCTAAGGCTACAACAACCAAAGGCTATCTAATGACATACAGCTATTTAAATTTAATTCACTGAAAGTAAATTTAAAAATTCAGTTTCTCGATCACACAAGTTTCATTCCAAGCGTTCAATAGTCACACATGGCTAATGACTACCTATCGGGCAGCACAGCTCTATTTCATCATCACAGAAAGTTATGTAAAACAGTCCAATGAGAAATAATGCCAAGTTTGCTTAGCCTCTCCTGTGATTTTTCTCTTAACCCTAGAATCCGTGTTTTTCTATTTAATGGAAATATATGCAGTGCCTAGCAAATTAGCATGGGGCCTGTTCCCTATGCAAATATTCTCACTGGTGATTTTTTCCTATGACAGAAAAGATGAGAAGGACTGGTAAATCACAAGCATTCTTAACCTCATTATAAATACATTGCAAATGTAAAAAATGCAAAGTGTGGAAGTCATAAATGTGAAAGCAGCTTTCAATTTGTTTTAATAGGTATTTTCCATGTCTTATTGTAACCTAGGGATCTTGCTGCAAGAAACTGCCTGGTAGGTGAAAATAACGTTCTGAAAATCAGTGACTTTGGAATGTCTCGTCAAGAGGATGGTGGAGTGTATTCATCTTCTGGCTTAAAGCAGATTCCCATTAAATGGACAGCACCAGAAGCTCTTAATTATGGTAAGAATAGACTGTTTTTCTTTTTGGTGGTAAAAATGTATTCCATCAGCACAAAACATTCACAAGCAAAGGTGGAGGAGTAAAGCAGAGCCCAAGTTAGAATGATTTGAAAATCAACACAACAATATTTAAGTGTTCATATTTTGTACTTACACATGGGCAGAAACCTAATTCATTGACCTTATTGATCAAATTTCTATATGTAAGATTGCTAGATTTAAGCTTTTTTTTTTAACATTTATTCATCTTTTGAGAGACAGAGAGCACAAGTAGGGGAGGGGCAGAGAGAGGGGGAAACACAGAATCCGAAGCAGGCTCTAGGCTCCCAGCTGTGAGCACGGAGCCCGATGAGGGGCTTGAACTCATGAGATATGAGATCATGACCTGAGCCAAAGTCAGATGCTTAACCAACTGAGCCACCCAGGCACCCCTCAGATTGCTAGATTTAAAAGATGGATGTACTTATAAGCACTTTTAAATATGACTATATATCTGAGGGTTTTTTAATCCAAGAAAAAATGATTTTTATGTTCACTGTTTAATTTAACTGTTAAAGTGTTGTTGTGGCTCTGGACCACTGCTTTCAGATGTCTTGTAATTGGTCCAATAACCTCATCTAATAATAGGTTTTAAAATTTGTTAAGTCTATAGTTTCTCACTCTGAAAACTGCCTTGGTTTCTTTGCATTTTAGTCTCTGGAACTTGTATAAATGTTGGAGGGAGAGAGAGGAGTTACATTTTAAAACAGCAGGGATTTTTTTGTATGTCATTATAATGGAAAAAATTCATGTTGTGTTAACTGTGGTTGGGATAAACTGGGCTGTAACAAGATGGGTAACAGTTCAGAATTAAAAGGAGAGAGATTGTGCTTTAAGTGAAATTATAAATTACATTTTCATTAAGGGAAGCAGCATGTGAGCCATGGGTTGGTGAATGGGTATGTTTTGAATTGAAATATCATAAAATGACTCTTTATTGATTTAAAATGAAAATTTACTTCATCATGAAAAATGAGGCATTTATAAATGCCTTAATTTAATGCCTAAGTTAAAAACAAAGCTTTTAAGTGAGCTAAAATTTTATATTATATAAAATTAACCATTTTAAAGTGAATAATTTAGTGGTATTTAGTACTGTTTAGAATGTTACACAACCACTACTTCCTTCTAATTCCAACATTTTCATCACTCTAAAGTAATACCCTTTGCCTATTTACTCCCCATTCCTCCTTTCCCTGCAGCCACTGGCTACCACATGTCTACTTTTTTATTGCTATGGATTTACCCATACTGCATATTTCGTGTAAATGGAATCATACTATACGTGACCTTTTGTGTGTGGCTTCTTTTACTTTCATGTTTTTGAGGTTCAGCGATGTTGTAGCATGTGTAATTAACTTCTTTCTTTTTTATGGCTGAATAATATTCCATTGTATATATTGATAATTTGTTTTCCATTCATATGTTGATTCATATTTGAGCACTTTTCACCTTTGGCTACTGTGAATAGTGCTGCTATGAACATTTGTGTATGAGGATTTGAGTACCTGCTATTAGTTGTTCTGGATATACACTAAGAGTCATACGGTAACTCTAGGATTGGTTTGGATGTTAGATGGGGCTGCTTCAGACACTATGATCTGTTTTGTGTTTTGGATACTCATGATACTACGCAGTATATGTTGTATGTGGTTGTCATTATGAGCAATTGACTAAGCTGTTCTAGTTCCCAATAATGAACTAGAAACTTAACTTCAAAACTTAACACTAGGATGCTAATCCTCACTCTAATTTGTCTTCCCAAGTGCTAGCAAGATAAATTTTTATATGATCACAGACTAATTCCACCATTCCACAGAATATAGAGAAAATGGCAGCCCTGCTATTTTCCACAGTGATATTACTCTAAGATTATATTCCTATGAATAACAATCACGGGATAAAAGATTTTAACTTGTTACTTATGCAGAGGTTTTCTTTAAAGGACAAAACATGGTTAACCTTTTTTCATCGATTCTTACAGCATCCCTACAAAGGGGCTGGAACTGGACTTGGGAGACCCTGAAATTTAGCTCTCTAAAATTTGTTTTAACCCTGTTGGCCAGATCTTCTTCACTGCCTTTGAAAGTCCTCTTCCTGTTAAGCAATTAGGCCAAGTAAAATTCTGCCTTTCAATCAAAATGTATTTTAGTTGAATTTCAAGGTGACTGAAGTATTTACAATCAAAATTCTATTTTCAAATAGCTCTTAGAACCTGACCTACAGCATTGGAAATAATAAAAGAGGTGTGAAGATCTTTGGTTGGCAATGAGGGAGATTTTTTTGGCAGTCTTTAATATCAACTTAATACAATGCAGAACAATTTACATGACAATGGAGGAGAGATTTTTTAACAGTAGATGAGAAAGAAGTCTGGAATACTTATTACCCAACCCAGTAAGGGAGTCCTTCAGAGTTTAACAAGAGGGAAAAATATAAGAATCTATTGAAAAACTTCTTATGTTTCTTTCGTGTTTTATGCAAATACTGGTTTATGATTGGTAGTAAAAACTTGCCTCCTTTCCAAGGGTCTTATTTCCCACTGATTATTTTTCTTCACTCTTGCCTCAGAGTAGCTGAAATACTGCACAAGTCTTTCATGACGTGTGGGAGCAAGGTTGATGGTAAAATCTTTCAGTCTAAGGAACCTCTCAGAAATTTTGCTTTGCAGCCATAGAGTTAAACGTACTTTCACCATTATTTTGTCATTAGTGTTGCTGTCATTTAATTTTTTTAAAAAATGACAAATAGCCTTGTTTTTTCTAAATCGAGCAATAGTAAAGGGCTGACAGTGACACGGATGCCCCTCTCCCACCCATCTCTAGCCACACAACACATAATTGCATATATATATCCCCCCACCCTTATTAAACACAGAGTGGTAGCATATTCAGTAGCCTTTTCAGCACATGTTGCTACCATTCTCAATATAGCTGTTACCAAAAGTACTTTGAAAAGGGCAAACAGTGTATGCCTCTTCAACTAAGAAATAATCAAAAAAAGAAAATTGCAAAAGACACTTTTTCATTTGTCACTGAAGAATGTGGGGTTGCTGCATCCTCTGAATTAGCATGACATAAATAAGTACTCTGAAATGAGAGGGAGGCAAGGTTTACAGTGAAAAGAGCAAGTCATCTACCTCTCTGCACCTATGATTTCTAATTTGCAAGATGAGAAGATAGTAAGGGTATTTGTGAGGTTCAAATGAGATGGAAAAGTAGCAAAATCCTGTACAATTGCAAGTTATTCTTAGCCCATTAAAATTACCCAGCGAGGTTCTGGTTCAAGATGACAATGCAGGAAGATCCCCAGGTCATACCGCCTCTCACAGATTCACAGATAAACCAAGTCTACAGCTACATATGGAACAATTTTCTCAAAAAAAAAGAAAGAAAAAAACAACAACAAACAAAAAACCTAGAAACCACGCAACTGCCATATATTGGACAAACAAGGGGGAAAAAATGGATCACAGCAGGTAAGACAGGCTGAGACACAATCTCACCATAAACCTCATCCCCAGCACAGAGAACCATAAACAGGAGGGAACTAAAAACTTAAAGCTTCTCCCTAAGGAGTGAATTATTTAAGCCCCCACACATCAGACTCGCCAGCATTTAAGACCTGCACCTGAGAGATGAGCTTGCAAAACATCTACCTTTGAAAACCAAAGAGGCTACAGGGAAAGTATAAACAATTCTTAAAAGGGCCCCATGCTTGGAATCACCTGCTTAGGGCCCAGAGCAGAAGCAGCCAATGGACAGGTCATGTGAAAGAAGCTCATTTGCTAGCCTTAAAGCATCAGCCTGAGGGATTATCTTATTTAACACACATCTAGGGGTCGGCTGGGGATACTTTCTAGGAATGGAGGCCGGCAAGCGCCATCTTCACATTCTCCCTCTGCCGCACCCCCAGGGCACCAGTATCTCTCAGAGGGGAGCTTTTACACATGTCCAGTACCCTGGTTTATGTAGCTGTTGCACAGGAAACACCCCAGGATCATCAGGGTCTGGAGGTCAGGGGGCTTGCATTCCTATATCCCATGTGACTGTAACAATTGGAGACCATTCTTGGCAGACTACCACCCTGGTGCCCTGACAGACAGCAACATGCCCACAGTCTTTACTTGCTTTTCCCACAAGCTTTGGCCTGAGAACAGGCTTCATGTATGTCACCTGATTACAGGCCTGTGGAGGTTATGTCGAGAAACAAAGTCCAGCGCACACCATCTCTTCACTCTCCCTCTACCTTGCTTGCTGGACTCTCCCAGAAAGGATCTTGTACCCTTGTCTGGTGCTCAGGTTTTAGCAGATGATGCCTAAGAACATCTTTATATCACCTGGATTCTGGTGGTCAGCACGACTTAGTTTCACAGATCCCACAGGACCGTAACCAATGGAGAAAAAGTTCTTAAACAGCTAGTACCTGTAGAGCACAGTAAGAGGCAACAGGCCCAAGAGCTCTTTGTTTCTGTGTGAGAGCTACAGCCAGAGGGGCAGGCTTCTAAGTGAACATACCTCCAAGACCTGACTATAATTCTTTCCAGAGACCTTATAGGGTAAGCACAATCCTCACACTCTGCCACTGTTGTGTTCCAGAGCACCAATATCTCTCAGAAGAAAGCTCTTACACACACCTGGTGCCCCAGTTTTGGGAGCTGCCATCCAGAGAATGCCCCTTGATCTGGCTCTGGTGACCAAGGGGGACTTGCATTCCTGAGTCCCACAGGACTGTATTGAGAGAGAAAGTTCTTGGCAAGCCATCATTCCTCAAGGGAGCGCACCAACAGCTGACTATGTAAGAAGGCAGGAGCTTCAGACTGAGAGACAGCCTTCAGGTTTGGCACAATCTAGAGGCTCAGGTAACATAGGCTGTGGACCATCTTTGCACTCTCCCTCTGCCTCGCTCCACCGCACTGGTATCTCCCAGAAGGGAGCATATGCACTGATCTGGAGCCCCAATTTTTGCAACTGCT